AGTCAACTCAGTGTCTCCTAATAATATTCCCATTCATGTGCTTGTTAAAGGAGAGAGTCATTGAAAAAGAGGAAGATCCTCAATGAGCTGGTTGTGGATTGACACTGTGACAGCAACAGTGGGCTTAATTACGCACACTTGAGACGGAGGATGGTGCAGGATTGGGCAGGATTTTGTTCTTTTGTACATGGGACACCCAACAGCACCTAACAATAAGAACAACATTCACATGCAAGAAAATATATGTAAAGCCAGTATCAGGCCTTTTGGTTTCCTGCTAAGAGAAGAGAAAAAAGTTCACTCAAAATCTCAAATAAAGCATGATATCTTCCAGACTCATCCATGCTGTGTAGTGTTTTACAAGTTTATATTTTTTCAATGCTGCACAGTATTCCATTGTGTCAATGTACCATTATGCCAAGTGAAATATCTCAGTCACAAAGGGACAAATACTGCATAAGCCAATTATTGTAATTTTAGGATTCAGAGCTGGAAAAGAGTGGATAGATAATGAATACTGCATTGGAATGAGTGAAAGGAGAGACATTCTTAAAGGAATGCATGATTAAAAACCACGAGTATGACAATTATTAGCTTTATAAGGGGAATTAGGGGAGGGAGTAAGGGAGTAAAGTTTACATGAATGAATGAATACTTTAAAAAAGATGTTAAAAAAATAAAAACCAAATCAAAAGCCTCCAACTCACTGATGTCAAGGTAGAAATCACCCTCCACTGGGTCTCTGGGAGAGATAGTCCATCTTCTAGGAATTCTCATAGCTCCAGAAGACCATTTAATAATAATTTATGGCCTCAGTTTCTTCAAAAATCAGTAAAAATACCTCAATTTAAATGCTATAGATGGCTGCAGAGACTCCTTGGAAAAGATTAACTGTGATTAAGCTATAAGATAGTATTGAAAAGAGAATTTAACGTAGCTGAGTCTTAGCCACAGGTCGCCCCAAACCTGACCCAGCGCGGTGCTCCTGAAAGGACGTGAATGTATGTGTGTCCAGTGTACAAGGCATTATTTTCACGCCATTTGCCTAGACTTGCAGTTTCTAACGGTCAGCTGACTTGGTGGACCGCAAACTGGAAGGCTGCTAGGAATGTGTACCTCGTTACTCTCAGCCAAAAGCAAACAAAGGAGGCCAGAGGAACGTGGTTTTATAATTGACTGTCAGTGCAATTGAGATCCACATACCAGAGGAAATGGTTAGTGACCTCAGCCGAGTTTGCAGTGGACGATCAAGGTGTCAAAGCCAGGCCTTCCAGAGTCAATATTTCTATAGCCCCTTCTCTTTTAACTGTAATAAATAAACTAACCACCTAGTCCTTGTTGCCATAGATCCCTTTGCAGCTCAGGAACTGGATAAGTCATATTTACATCTTCAAAACAAACTCAACTCATTGTCATCAAGTTGGACCTGACTCATTATTGACCCTCCTGCAGGTTTTCTGAAGCTATAAATCACACGGAAAGTGAGTGTCCATCTTTCTCCTTCAGAGCTGCTGGTGGATTCAAACCACCAGAGAGACATTGCCTTTGGTTTTAGTCGCGCAACACCCTATGGAGTCTCTTTCTCTGCAGATTTAGAAGGGAAGAAGTCAGAAGTGGGAAATGTAGCAAACAATTTGGAGATAGTTGAGTATCAGTAGGAAATGAGTTCTCTCATGAGCAGGAGCCAGTCAGTAGATAGTGTAAGGAGAAAAAGGAGGGCGGGGGGAGGATTTTTTGAAGAAGATAGCCTGCTGGTGACTGGAACAGAAATCACTGTGCAAACTCCATAGTGACAGGTGTCAGAGAGGTCATATGGAAAAGGTGACAGGGGCATCCGAGGAAATTGCTTTACCTTCTGCAGGATTCTCTGGAAAACCTTGACTGACCATGGTGCCTGGAAAGCAGCCCATCCCAGTGACATCTGCCACCATTCTTCCCTTAGCGCCTCCACCTCCAAGCCTCCGTCTGTGGCATTCCCCTCAACAGTGTTTCTCCAGAGCCTTCAAGGAATGTCACAAATCCATTGTGGCTGGCCACAAAAACCAAGCTTGCCTTAACCAGGCTGAGTCTTCCCAATGAGCAGTGTTTTGAAACTCGCTCCAGTTTCTTCAAGATAAATATTGTGCAGTGGAGTCAGTTCTGTGAACCTAAAGGACAGTGTAGAACTGCGCCATAAGATTTGTACTTGTTATTTGTTGTGTGCCATCGAGTCTGAACCCCACTCATAGCTGACTCATCAGCGGGTTTTCAGCAGCAGTACATATCATGGGAGGAGGTTGCCCATCCTTTTCCATGGAGTGCCTGGGATTTGAACCACCTGCCTCTGGGATTACAGTTCAGCTTCTTAGAACTCAGCAGACTGTCTCACCTTTCTCACATGGAGCAGCTGGTAGATTCAGACCACCAGCCTTTCAGTTAGCAGCCAAATGATTCAGCATTGCACCACCAGAGAGCCTTTTGAGAGGATACAGTGGTGGAGATGAGAGAGAGTGGGCCTGCAAAGACCATCTATTAGAACTGTCCATCTTTCTAGGCTCTTCTGAGCCTCTCTTATGTCCACTGCTGCTCTGGGAGTGGGCACTGTGAAAGGATTCTTTGAGTCTGTGTATAATAATAGCTCTTTCTCCCAAGCCCTTTTGACTCTAAACTTCCCCAACTTGAGAATTACATAATTGTCACATTCAGGCGAACTTTCCTGTCTGCCTCTGTGGTGGTTTCTGTTGGGTTTGGTGTCATGAGAGCTTCAGCTGTGTTTGTAAGAAGTAACTCATACGAGCAGCTCTTTAGAAAGCAGCTCCAGTGGAACAGTTATTTTAACCGTAGGACCCTAAAAATAAGAGCTTGAAATGATACAGATGATTAGAAATGGCCTATAGTGCTATTCTCTGAGTTTCTGATACCTATATAATGTATACTTAAGGAGCTCTGGTGGCCTAGTGGTAAGAAGCTGTGCTGTAGTCCCAAAAGTATGTGGTTCAAATCCACCAGCTGTTTGGAGAGAGAAAGGTGGACATTCTCTTCTCATGTGATTTACTGCCTCTAAAAACCCAATGGAGGGCCGTCTGTGGGTCTTTATGACTCATTAGTGCACAACAAGGACCTCTCATGGTGTAGTGTGCTACTACATATATTGCTACTAACTGAAAAGCCAATGGTTCAAATCCATCAGCTGCTCCATTAGAGAAAGATGGAGGAAGTCTCCTTGCTAATATGTTTACAGGCTTAGAAACCTATTGGAAGGTCATTATAAATCAGAATTGACTCCCTGGCAGTGGGAACTCTGGTGGCCTAGTGGTTACGTGTTAAGATGAAAGAGAAGCATTTGATAGAAAAGTCAGAGGTTTGAACCCACCCACCACAACACAGGAGAAAGATGTGGTGTTCTGCTTCTGTTAAGATTACAGCCTCAGATACACTAGAGATCTCCTCTGCCTTGTTGTTGTTAGATGTCGTCAAGTTGAATACAACTCATAGCAACCCTGTGAACAACAGATCTGAACCCTGTCCTATCCTGTACCATCCTCATCATTTCTAACATACTTGAGCCCTGCGGTCACCGAGTCAATCTATCCTGAGGGATTTCCTCTCTTTTCCCTTTCCAAGAGTGATGTCCCTGTCCAAGGAACAGCCTTCTCCCACCAATATACACAAAGTATGTGAAATGAAGCTTCATCGTCTTTACCTCCAAGGAGCACTATGGCTGCACTTTGTCCAAGACTTTTGTTCTTTTGTTAGTCCATATTCCGCACCTTTCTCCAACATCACAGCTCAGAGGCATCAGTTCTCCTCCTTACATCTTTATGCATTGTCCTTAATATATAGCAAATGATTTAACACTATGGCTAAATCAGGCACACCTTAGTTTTCTAACTGATATCATTGCTCCTCAGTAATTTGGAGAGGTCTCTGACTGCAGACTTTCCCAGTGCAATATGTCTGCTTAGTAGGGTAGCTATAAATTGGAATTGACCTGATGGAATAGTGGATTTAGTTTGCTTAGGGTAGTGGGGATATATATATGTTTACCACAGTAAGACCATATTTGAAGCAGGGCTTGTTTCAAGAGAAGTTGTTATTGTTGGGTGCCATTGAGTTGACTATGACTGATAACAACCTTGAATCTTGCTCTTTCCTGTGTCTTCACAATCTCTGATATGCTCAAAATCATTGTTATAGTCACTGTGTCAGTCCATCCTGTTGAGAGATGTTAGGATGTTAATCAGAAAATGAGTATTCAGAAAATGAGTATTCAGAAATGCCTTACAAACCTTCTTCCTGCTGGTGTACAACCTGCAAAGGGGGATTTCAGTCTTAGAAGTAGAGTTCTCCTTAGAGCTGTGGCTGGCAGGCATGCTTCTGAAAAAACGAGGGTGTGTACTATCTTAGCTGTGGCCAAGCCCTGTGGACGGAATGCTCTGAAAAGTTGATAGGCCAGTGGGGAGTGTTGAGTGGGCAGCCCAGGCCTGGCTTGGGAAAAGTCAAGAAGTTACCACTGGGGATGATAGAATGTTTTGAATTTGTCTGGAGCCCCTTGGGTCAGACAGTGGGATCCTATTTGCCTTCTCCGTGGGAGGTCCTCAGAGCTCTCAGTGAGAAAGCCAAAGACCTGCTCTTTCACCCCACTCCCTCAGAGTACTGGGGCTGCCATAGCCTCCCCATCTGTCTCCAGTGGGTGGTGGCTCTTCCCTCCAGAGCTTATCTCCTTTTTCCTGGAACTGGCCCCTGGGACCTGGCCAAGCACTTCTGTGCATCCTCCTGCCCTCAAGGTGGGAGCTCTTCTCTGAGACCCAAGGTGATGCCCTGGGCGCAATTGACCTGCCCTTCCATTTCCCACTCAGAGCTTCCTGCCAAGGACTGTTGTCTCCTCTGGGTGGCCTGATCATGAGGCCTGCCTACTCTCCCCCCTACTGCACCAGTCCAAGCTGAGTTGAGAAGCTCCTGGGAGAAGCTTTTGTGATGATTCACTCCTTCTTTGGTTCTTGTTTGTTTATCTATCCTAGATCTGCCTAACCAATGTACTCCGAACCCCTGTGATAAGGAGGGGACAAAAATCTGCCAGGACCTAAAGGGCACCTTCTACTGCCTGTGTCATGTCGGCTGGGGGGGCCGCCTCTGTGATCAAGGTAAAACTTCCTCCCTCCTCACCGCAGTAGGTGCTGCCTGGCATCTGTCTTTCTAGTGTGATGTAAGATGGTTTGTGTGTCCTTGCAAGTGTGTGAGAGCATGTACGTGCATGTGTATGTGTGTATGTGAGAGAGCGAGCCTGGAACCAACATACTGTGTGAGGCCTTTCCCTACAGGCCTGCTGGAGGACCATAGATGCTCCGCCAGGGTGTGAGAGTTGGCCTGGTCTTTGTCCTCCTCTGGCTCTTTCCCAGCCTTGACCCCTCCCACCCACCTGAGCACGCAGCTGCCGTCCCACACGTGTTGTGCCTGAGCTGCCTTGGGGTTCCTAAATGTGTGAGAGTTCGCCTCCAAGGCTGTGTCATCTCCAAGGGATCAGGACCCTCACAACTGACCTGTCCTCTGTGGGAAAGATGTCTCCAGACCTCCCCACCTTATCTGCCCCCATTGCTCCCAGGAGCGTTTCCATGTAGCCAATGTTACATAGGGCCTGGCTTAGCCCTCCTGGGACAGGAGACTCTTTCACTATTGGGAATGCTGCAGTCATAAAGGGTTTGCTTGGAGTAGAGCCAGGCTCTTGAGAGAATCTGGGAAGAACTGGATAGTTCTTCTCCAGAAAGAGGACTGGGATAAAAGGAAACCAGGTCCCAGAATGGCAGAAGGTATTAAGCACACAGTTGTGAATGGAAAAGTTGGCAATTCAAGTTCACCCGGATGTGCCTTGGAAGAAAGGCCTGGCGTCTGTTGCCAAAAAGCCTCAACCTTAAAAATCCCATGGAGCAGTTCTCCTCTAGTTGGTGGGCTGACAGTCACAACAGGAAGGAGCAGGAGCATTCCACCTTAGCAACCCCCGTTCTGTCTAGCAGCCTCGTTCCAAGTGAGTCTGCTGTCCCTGTTGGCCTCAGTTTTCATTGAAAAGGGAAGGAAAATAATGCAATCCCTGACATCCTTGGAATCTGTGAGTGTGATACCAGTCAATAAACATGAAAAAAAATCCCCCTGGGCCTGGTGAAAACATGTTCCCTGGCCATTCTTGTGACGGCCCTCCTCCTGAAGGACAGCTTCTTGCTACCCTCCCTGGTAAAGTGGATTTTCCAGGAATTGATTCTGCCTCAGTGAGGCTCCCAGGGCACATCCTTCTAGAGAGGCACTTGGTCCACACTCTGCTTGGGAAGCAGCAAGCTACCTCTATGTGCTTTAGCACATAGTGGCTTGGTCGAGCCTATCTTTGAGCTGTCCAGTCACACTCAGATGCCACCATCCTCTTGTGCTCACCGGGTGCTGACAGAGCTGAGCCTGGAGAGAATTCCCTGCTCACCCAGCAGGACATGTTTGTAGCTCAGTCTCCATGTACCTTCTGCCCTGATCCCCATGCTCTTACCGCGATGCATTTCTAAGTCTGGTGGTTAAGTCTGTCTGGTTGTCTCCTGAAGAAATCTTCAGGAGTGGTTCCCTTTCACCAAACTTAAGAGATAACCTAGAGATTTAAAGGAGTGAGTGTAATAGCAATAATAAGCACGTTGAGGTGCTATTTCATGAGTGTGTGAGCTTTCTGACTTTGGCCTCTGTCATTGTAGATATCAATGAATGCAACCATCAGAATGGGGGCTGTAATCAAATTTGCTACAACAAGTTGGGCAGCTTCCACTGTGGCTGCCACAGTGGCTATGCTCTGTCTTCCGACAGCAAGACCTGTGAAGGTAAGATCTTTGGGCTAGAAGCCACCCAGACTGGAGCCTGAGCTTCCCAGAGGCCTCTATTCCTCCTCCTCCTCTCTCTCTCCCCCTCTTTTAAGTTTTTGTCTGTTCGTTTCCACAAACGTGCTACTCTTCTTGCCTGTGTTGGACATCATACTTGCTTACTTCTCAGGAGTTTGCTGCGGGTGGGTGGGAGCCTTTGGTTCTGGTGGGCAGAAAGGAGGGAGGGTGCGCTGTCAGAGTGAGCATCTGCCCAGGCATGTCTGTGGTAACAGGGAGATGCTCTCCAGCACCATAACCCTGATATGATTCATGAGGGATTGTGGGCTGGAGCTGGCAAGGCCACGCTTCTTGACTCCGGAGAGGAAGCAGACTGGATTCCTGATGGCTGGGCTTGCAGACGAGCCTGGAGCTGTCTGTATGCTGCTCTAAACTTCGGATGAAGGCAAGAGGTGGGATGCTTCCAGGGAGTGAAAGTCATGCAGGGTGCATACAGGTTGTGGAGACCAGTTAGGTCTTTTTCCAGCTTCACGAGCTTGTGGTCCTACCACGAGCTGTTTTTGTGCAGCTCTGTAAGCCTGGGACATTTCATGAGGGTTCAGGTGCAGGGAGCAGAGAGGGTAGTAAGCTGCTGTAGTCATAACTCCCAACACTCTACTCTATGGCACCTAGTCCACGCCAATCAAGTGCCAAAAGTACCCTTCTCAATACTGGTCTCCCTCAATGTCAGATACTCACCAAAGAGGGAAGCCGTTCAGCCTTGCCTACATTTTTGTTTCCACTTCAAAGAGTCTGGAGCCAGCACAAGGGAGGGAGGTCCTGAGAACACTCCAGAAAGTCACTGCAAACATATGCACACCAGACCCTCTCTTCCATCCCCAGACCAGGAGTACATCTGTAGAGCCTTCTCAGACTTCCACATACCAGGTTTGTAGGGCACAGCGACTCTCTGGCCCTTCCCTTCCTTTCTCATCTAGAAATGTCTAAGGATGTGCTTCTGCACATGTCCCTCCAGAAATCTGAATCTCGTGGCTTATGGCTGCAGGCTGGCTAACCAAGCAAAGTGGGACTGAAGTTACCTGTAAAATGAGATTAGACAGTAAAATGGCTTAGGAGAAATTAGCATCTCAGCATCTAGAGACCGGAAGGATGCTGATGAGTGTCCCTGGTATCAAAGAGGCAGGTGTCAGTCAAGCGGGACCAAATGTCACTTTCTCGTGGATGATGTTCCCCTCTTTTAGAAAAAAAAACAAACTCCATCATTGTCAGTTTAAGTGGGTCATGTCCCTGTAGACCTCAAGTTATTTTTATATCCAAATGAAATTATTCTCATCTTAATGCATAAAAAACCCCATTTCTTTTTGCCTTTCATCTCCTGCAGACCTAGAGAGCAGCTCTTCTCTCATAACAGCCATGTGACCACTCGAAGGTGTGGAGTTGGACCAAGTTTAGGTTCCAGCTCTAGGCTGTGTGAGTTTGAGCAAGTGACTTGTGATTATTGCATTATATTTCATCTTTCAAAAACAAATTGGTAGCATCACATTATTGAATTGTGACTTAGTTTTCTAGTGCTGCTGGAACAGGAGTATCATAAAGCAGATGGCTTTAGCAAATGGAAGTTTAGGCCCTCATGGTTTAGGAAACCAGAAGTTTGAATTCAGATGTCATCACTGGGGAATTCTTTCCCTGTTGCCTCTGGAGGAAGGTCTTTGGCTCCTTTCAGTATCTTTGGGTCCAGCCTTCCTTGGAGATCTACAGGGTCTTGGCATCAGTCTTCTCTCTGAATCTGGGAGGTTCTCAGCACAGGGACCCCTGGGCCAAAGGACCAGCTCTACTTCTGGCTCTTCTTTCTTAGCTTTTGTCATCCTTCCTCTATTCCTCTGACTGCTTCTCTCTCCTTTTGTCTTCTGTGACATTAAAGGGGATGCTGGCTACACTCTAGAAAAACTCTTTACAGATGGACTCAGTGCTGTGATCTGAGTGACTTGGCCGCATCCCACACTTGTCCTTTTACAGCTGATTGGCTGATAACACCAGGTCACATCTTAAGGGATGAGTATATCATTATGCAACTGTGAAAATATATCATTTCACAACTGCTAACCTACTGAGAATCATGGCCCAGCCCAGTTGACGTGTATTTTTAGAGAAGACATTCCATTCATGTCAGATGGGTTCTGTGAAATGATGTGTCTAAATCATTCAACACAGTGCCTAACCTATAGTTAATGCTCAAGTCATTGGAGCTTGTTATCTTGTTATTACTTGAAGATAAAAGATAAGCCATATTTATAATTCTCAGCAGATTGAAGAAAATCTACTTTCATTAACTTAGTGGTTTGTGGCTTCTAATTGCCTGTTGCAAATACCTGTGGAATTTTTAGAAAATATAGAAGTCAAATTTCTATACCAGGCCAATAAAATCAAAGTATCTGAGGGTAAGTCTTAGGCACTGAGTTTATAAAAACAACTCCGAGGTGACTTCATTGTGCAGCGAGGCTTGAGAACTCCTGCTTCAGTCTTCCTCAGAAGGCCTATGACCCTTTAATCATTCATGCTGTTTTCCAATTATTGTCACCAGCTTTTTTTCTTTTTCACTTTTTAAAAATTGTTTTGCATACAGTTATACATTGTGATAGTTAATGTACATTGTTGTTTTCAACTTTTAATATACATTGTGCTTATACAATAATTCTGATACATTGTGTTTTATGTGATTACTGTTGATCTCTGTCTTTTATCACTAGTTCTTTTAAGTCCCCATTGTGTCTTTCCTAGTCCTTCACCCCCATCCCACATCTACCCACCACCTTCTGCTAGCCTAACTAGTTCCCCTCCTCCTTGTCCACTTCCTTCTCTCCTTCCCCTTTCCCTTTTTGAACCTTCATACATATCTTGCTCATTTATCCTCCTATTTTCACAGTAGTGGCCTTATGCAATATTTGTCTTTTTGTGACTGAGTTATTTCACTAAACATACTGCTTTCTAGACTCTCCCATGTTGTGTCATATTTTATTAGCACCTTGTTTTTCTTTAGTGCTGTATAGTACTCCATTATGTGAATATCCCAAAGTTTCTTTATCCATTTGTTTGTTAATGGGCATTTTCTTGCCGTTGTGAATAACATTGCTGTGAACATAGGTGTATGTATCTCCATTACTATCTCAGGTCTGATTTCCTTGGGGTATATTCCTAGCAGTAGAATAGCTGGGCCATATTGGATGTCTGTGTTCAGCTTTTTGAGGGAATGCCAAACTGCCTTCCATATTAGTTGTACCATTTTACTGTCCCACCAGCCGTACATTGAGAGGACTCAAGTGCCTGGACAGAAGCACAAGGGGAAAGTTACATTATTATCACCTTGTATGCATGGCCATTTTAACTGTGGTGCTGACAAAAATTAATGAATATACTAGAGACTACCAAAGAAGAGTACTGAATATCTCACAGACTTCCAAAAGAGCAAACAAGTCTGTTTTGGAGGAAGTTGGACCACGGTGCTGTTCGAAGGCAAAGGATGCTGAAGTTGGGTCGCATCTGCCTTGACTATGTTGTCAGGAAAGGCCATTCCTTGGTAAATGACCTTGTGCTTGGAAAGGTGGAGAGACAGAGAGGAAGACCCTCAACAAAATAGATTGACGCAGTAACTCTGACAGTGGCCTGGAGCATTTTAGAAATGGTGAGAATGGTGCAGTATGGAGCAGAGTTCAGAGGTCAGGTTGGCTCATGGCACCTAACAACAACAACAATTAAAAGAACAAACAAATTTGTCTTTTTAGTAGGAAGGCTGGGGACCTCTATATTAGCTGATGTTTTTCTTGGCTGCCAGAACAGGAAGGGACTGGGTCAGTCACCTTTGTGGCTGGAAACTCAGACTGTGTGGCTGAGTGGGCTTGACCTGGCTCTCCAGGGAAGCAGAGCTATTGCCATGACAGCTGAAGGGGTAGGCTGCAAGGTGAAGGCAGTGCAGGTGGACTTGGTACCTTGCTTTAAAGTGGACGGGATTATTTTTGTAATTGTCTGTATATATTGCTCTTGGCAGGCTGAATTTTCCACATCCAGTGCCAGAGCTCCTGAGCTGTAAATTCTTTCTTAGAGGAGCTTGACAAGTATTTCCCTCACCCACCGCGTCCAGGTTTCCGGGGTCATTGTTGTTACTGTAGTCAGCTGAGGTCATAAGCTAACTTGTTAACTTTCACAGTGGGCTGAATGGTAGGAGGTTGGGAGAGTAGAGTTGGCCAGGATGCTGTGAGGGCAGAGACAGAGGATAGAGCCTAGTGGTGGTCCACACTGGAGCCAGTGGGGTGCCAGACTCCCTGCTGTGATACCTAAACAGTGGAAGAAAGCAATGATGACTCAGAAGGGAAGCAGGAGCCTCTGATAACAGAGGGTGGAGACAGTGGTGTTTTCAGGTTCCACCCCATTGTTTCACTTGTGGAAGGAATGAACAAGCCCTTCATCAGCTCAGGATGCTGCAAGGATGGGCATAGTTTGACTTACGACCTTGCCAGCAGAGACCTTTCCACAATTTTGGCTTCCTCAGAACTGCTGTACAACAGTAGTTTTCAAAGTATCTCCCAGTTTGATAGCACTAGTATTTGTGAGAAGTGTGTATTCCCCCGGCCCCTTTCTTTGTCTCCAAAGTGCAAAACTCCAGAGGTGAGGCTGGCATTCTTGCTTCCCTGAGCAGCCTGCCAGAGCATCTGCACTCAACATTCAAGAAGTTCTGTCTCGGACAGAATCCCCAGATGGTGCAAATGGTTAATGCTAACCAAAAAGTTGAGAGGGTCATGTTCAAAGACACCTCAGAAGAAAGGCCTAACAATCTACTGCATAAAAACCTGCCATTGGAAACGCTGTGGAGCGCTCAAGGTTTCTGTGAGTCAGGACTGACTCTGTGAGCAGTACTGAACTAAGGAGTGGCCTGGTGGGGGCCGACTGCAGCCAGTTCTTGCCCTTTGAAAGCTCAGTAGTTGACTCTGTGCCTGCTGAGACTAGTCCTT